TGACATGGTATATGAGATTGATGTGTAGATTAGAATACCCTGTGCAATGCTTAGGGACCTTTCCATTTATAGTTTGAAATTAGTATAATGGATATTGTCTATACTTGAAGGTATCAATTTTCTTTTTGTTGGGTTGCCTGGTGGTTACGACATACTGACATTGTCTCTGTAAGTACTCCTTGGTTTGCAGGAGAAGCATGTCGGGCAGCTCTGCACTCAGGGCCCAGCCAGGCCTGGCCCGGAATGAGGGAGAAGAAGTGGCGACACACAACCAGCGCTGGGCTGGCGGGTGGAGCCAGGGGCTCGGAGGCGGGATGGCCAGCGAACCCCAGGGCAGCGGGAGGTTCCATGAAGACACGGACTGGGAACTGTTCTGGTTCTGTCCTGGCTCCTTGCCCGATCAGGTGAGCTCTGCTGGAGCAGGGGCCTGGGCGCTGGCACACCTGGTACCTGGGGGTGCCAGATTGGAGTCCTTCAATGCCAACTAGCGCGTTGAGGTGTCCTTGCTGGCCCTCGGTTTCTCTTGGTCCAGAAGGGATAACACCATAGCCCTTCCCTGGGCAGAGTAGGGCAGGCGGGACCCCAACTGGAGGGCCCACTATGTGCCAGGCCCTGAGCTGGGGCCCAGCGCTGAGTGTGGCCCAAGGACGATATCGCTGGACACTTGACCACCAGCCCCACGGGCGGCCTCAGCTCCACCGTGCTGGTCTCGCCTCGGCAGCATTCGCTCCGGGCCCGGAACAGCTCTTGACTCTTTACTAAGGACCTTTTGGGGCACCTCTTCCACTTGCTCCTCGCAGGGCAGGGCCGGGCCCCATCCTCCCCATTTCACGACAGGATGGCTTGGAGGAGCAGTCCTCCACCCCCCGCAGGCCAGGAACCAGCAGGAACAGCAGAGGCAGGACTGCGACCCGACCCGACCGGGGTTTGCACTCTGAACTCTGCATTCCTTTCTTGATGGCTGTTAGGGTGGTGCTGGAGAACATCATGGACCCCGCTCAGGAAACGCCAACCCCTTCCTGGGTTTGCCACTTGGGACCACAGAGGCAGTGCCCTGGTGGTGGATTCCTGGGCTGGGCTCTCAACCAACCTCTGCTCCCCTCGGGGACAGGTTGGCCGCTGTGGGGCTGAATCGCGGCAGGCAGACCCGAGGGGAAATGTCCATGAGGGGAAAAGACTGTCTCAAGGCATCTTGCAAATCCTGGCAAACTTACCCAGAGCAGCATGGAAGCCTGGCTCCTTGGTGAAAACACGTGAGTGCTGGGTATTCGGCAACGGCTTACTGGAACTTCTGCTGTCAGCCCAGGAGGGACTCTGGGTACAAGGCCTGGATGACTCTCTTGTGGGCCAGGGAACACTCACCTAGAGAGGAGGAGGGAGTGAAAGGATGGGGCCAGGCCTACTGGCCACCATGCCCAGTCTGACAATACCCAAAATCCCAGAATGAGAGCAGTCCGAAAAAGCCACCAGAGCCCACATGCCTTCCACGCAGGGCCCCAGGACTGCCTGGAGCTTGGAGATGGAGCCTCAGTGATAATGCCAAGGGATAAACCACACAGAGGGAGGGGTTTCATTCTGACATCATGGGGAGTTTTCAGATCCGAATTTCAGCATTTGTTCTAGACATGCTTCCACGGTCACGGCAGACAGGCCAGTCCCACTAGTGCGTGTCTTCCTGTCCCTGTCGGCATGGGGGACGAACGGCACACTGACTGGCACATTAGGAGGGCACCGGTTCTTCACCAGTTACACTCTGGGTGTCACTCGGGCACAGCAGAGTGCTGTCCCTCGCACTGGAGCAGTAAAGGAGAGGCTACATGAAACGATAAAAGCTGTCCCACCCCCCCCCCCTTTTGCAATCAGAAAACAACAGTGGCATTGAATTCTATCAGGTAAGTGGTTTTAGAGAAACACGCCTGTAGTTGGCTTATTTATTTCTGGGATGCCGTCCAGGGCCTGTCACGGGGCAGGGGTGGGATCGAATGGTGCTATGCACGACTGGAGAGCAATTATTAAAAAATCAAATCAGCAACTAGTCCTGCTACGTCATTAGTTTTTGGGATTAATGGTGGTATTGTGGCTTTCTTTGCTCTGGTGCCCTAGGACTGAAATTGCTTTCCAGTTCAGAAACAAGCCATTCAGGAGCTGGGCTCTTTTGAGGATTCCTTCCCTGGCTGGGGCTTGTGGAGGAAACGTTTTTCTAAAAGCTGAAAGGTGTGGAGGAAGGTGGGTTATTTTCTCTCTGGAGTTTGGGTGTGAGTTTGAAGCGAAAAGCTGATTACAAGACCCCTAAGAAGGGCACAAGGAAGCCACCTCCCTGCTCCCTGGAACCTCACAAAGGTTCTCTAAAGACCACTGAGCCCCCTCATTCTGGTACGTAACAGGTTAGCGCTTTCTGGTCTCCCACAAGCGACAGTGACTTTGGAGCCCTGTGGCCTCCTGAAGCTGGTCCTGGATGGGGCGGACTTGGAGGGGCCATGGTCCTTCTGGAGGGGGACACGACCACTGACGTGGGGAGATAGGTAACAGGCAGGCTGTTTGAGCGGCCCACTGCGTGCCAGGGCACGCGTTAACCATTTCACCAGGTGAAACACTTTGAGGCTCAAGCCAAATGCCTTGGCTGGCGTGGCAGAGCTGGGTTCGAGCCCAGGTGGATCAGACTTCCTCTGCCAGGGTTCTACATATGAACGAGTCTTCTCCCAGCAGGAGGACCAGAAGCTAAACTTATTTATCCGGCTCGGTGGGCTGAGGATTTTGGGCTTCTGTGCAGGCCACTATCTCTTCTTTGTTCATAAATTTGGTTAATTAATCTTGCAGCAAAGAGAGAAGGATCCATTTTGCTTTACTGTCATTTGATCAGAACGAGTCCACATGACCAAAATGTGAGCTTCGCACAGGTACGTGAAGGCCCCCAGTCGTGAAGGGTGACTCGTGCAGCCAGGCGCAGGGGGAGGCAGCTGCAGCGCCCAGGGACTGGGGCTCCTGCGCTCTGGTGGACAGGCACGGCCGCGGGGCCCTTTAGGAGGAACAGGCTGCCGCTGGTGTCCACCGCCCGGCACACGGACTTGCTGCTGCGTCCTCTCTTCTGGAGGCGCCTGGCAGTTAGGTTGGTCCCTAGGTTGTAGGAGACGGCTGCTGGGGCCTTCTTCGTCGCGTGCCCTACGGGTTCGTCGGGGCCTCCCGCTGCGCCGCCTTAACGCTGCTGCAGCCGCTTTGCCTCAACTACCAAATCTGCTCAGCTGCCTTTCCAGAGATCAGGTGACAGGGCTGGAGAAGCAGGCTGGCGTGCGTGGGAGCTGGGCGTTGGGAGGGCTGCTGTTGCTAGGCTGCAGCCGCTGCCACCGGCAACTCCTGAACGTCCAGTGGCTTGCCAAAAAGAGGAGAAGGACGGAGGAGTGAGGAGGAACGAAAGGAAAGGAAGAGTTTTGAGGTTGGATGAGGCCCTCTTCCGGTTTGGGAAGGAGGTGCGGCACCGGAGCCCTAGGAGGCGGCTTGGGAAGAGAAGAGAGTTAGAGTGAGTTGTGTTCCCTTGGAGTGAATTGTGTCCCTTGAAATGTTTTAGGGCGGGTTTAAAGATTCTCCTCCTCTTCCCTCTCCCGACACTGCAGGCCAGAGGAAAGAGGGGGTGGGGAGAAAGTTGCCTTGGCTCGGAAAGTAAAGAGAGGATACGGGAGATTTCCAGCTGGATAGGGTCAGGCACCCAGCGCAAAGCAAGGGACCGAGCAGGTGGGTGGCACTGAGCCTCCTGGGGGTGGAGGGGGAGCAGGCGGGGCAGCAGCGCACTCGGACAGTCGGAGGGGGATGGGCCACTGGCTCCTGCGTCCTGCACCAAGCCGCCTGCCGGGGGTGGAGGTGTTCTAGTTCTGCCCCAGGATTCAAGTGGTTAAGCAGGTCCAGCTTGGGGGAAGAGGGGGCCCCGGGGTTAGGGGAAGTGCCCACTTCTAATTCTGGCGGATAACGGGGAGGGGGCTGCGCATGAAGAAAAGGGAGGAGAAGAGGGAGGGCAGGTGGACCGCTGGCAAGGGCCAAAGAGGTAGCTTCGAAATAGGACTGCCTATGTGAAGGAGGCGATGGCGCCGGATGCCACCCAGAGCCCGGCTCACGTGCTCCCGCCCAGCGGCGGGGTTAAAGGGATAGGGCTGGATGCCGGTCGACTCCAACTGGGCTCGCCCACCCCTCCGCCGAAGGTCTTTCCTGGGCAGTTGTCCTGGAAAGGTGTGGAAACGTGACTTTCCACAAGCACGTCTCCAGGGATAGGCCTTTACCTGCATTCCACGCGCGGAGCCAGCCACGTCCAGGGAAAGGCTCTAGCTGCACCGCGGCCGCGTTCGTAGCTCTCAGGGAGGGGGAAGGGGCTGCAGGGGGAAAGGAGTAGGGACCGGCCCTGACAGCCCCGCTTCGGTCTCGAACGCGCTCCCCACAGCCCGGCGGAGCGCGCACTGCACACACATGACACCTGCTCGCAGATACGCACGGCGTGTAACACATGCACACTTACTGGCACAAAGATACACCGTGCAACTCGCGAACACGGGATGCCACTCGCAAACGCACGCACATATACCACAACACACAGGGCATTCGTGCAGTGTGCACAAACACGCACACTGGAGCGCGGCCACTTCAGTGAGCGTTCCCAGGTTGCAGTGCTAGCGGTTGTAAAAAGGGATCTAGCAGGTTCCTAACCCCACAACTGCACCAACTGCCCGACTTTCCCTACAATTCACCTCGGCTGAGCCTTCTCCCTAAGAACCCCCTTTCTGCGCAGTCCTGGATGTTACGGCTGACCTGCTCCTGGGGTTACGTGAACCCGTAATGGACACGAGTCCCTTTCTTCAAAGGCGCAGGTACTTTGAAAATGAACCTCTTTTCATCCCTGCGTAACATAAAACTCTGAAAAGTTAGGATCAGGTGTTCACACATGGCAACCAAAATCATTCTGGACTAATTCCAAAACAAAGACTTTCCCCTGGGGATGAATTTTTTCCCAGGACACATACCGCGTGGAATGAACACGCTCCTCGGCAGCCCCAGGCGGGCAGTCGGGCGCCGCGGCCCCGCTGCGCGCGGAGGGCGCGTCAATCACCGCTCGGTGCACAGGCGCGGGGCCCCAGGCTTTCTCCCGGGTCTGGGGCCGTTAGCGGGCGGTGGCTTAGGAGCGCCCCACGCCTCGGGCTGGCCCCCCGGACTGGGGAGGGAGGGTCTGACGGGCCTGGGCGGTGGCATTCGCGGTGGCTTGGGCGTGCGCTCACTTGGGACCTATTGCGAAGGGGGGGGGCGAATCAGGGGTGAAAAAGGTCAGACAACTGAAGGGGCGGAGCAGCATCTGATTTACATCCAGAGGCCAATGGAGAGAAGAAACGCTGCTCCGGAAGCGCGGCTACGGTTAAAAAGTCACGGCTACCTTGGAGTTATTGTAACGGGTTTTACCTGTCAGTTCTTAACTCTGGTCGGCTCAGCAAGCGGCTTTCAAACTACCTTCTCTGGCGATTTTCCAGCACCGTATTTGGGAGGACCCCACAACCCATCTTTGGTTAGAGCACTTTTGGTGAGCGCTGTTACCCATGTCAACTCTTACAGATGCGGCAACTCAGGCTTCCAGACGCTAACCTAAGCAAGCACCCAGCTGGGGTCCCGTCTAGGCACTCTGACCCTACAGCCCACCCTGTTAAGGGTCTGCAGTTCTACTCGCCCTTAGAACTGGGAATCGGGGCGGAGCAGGGGCCCGTAAAGAGGACTGGGGGGAATGTGGTGGGCCAGATTGTTGGCGGAAGTGTCATAGGAGTGGACAGAGGTGCTAATAATTAGCTGGTTGTGTCCTACACAGAGCGAGAGCTCAGAGGATGGAGACGGGAGGGGAGACAGGACAGAGGGAAAGGGTGAGAATTGTGGGCCGTTTGTTGATGCCAGGCTGTCCTCGGCTGCAGGAGCCTGGCAGCATGCAGCGATCTTT